GAGTATAATGGTTTTTGTTGTTGTTTAGAACCATTAATTTTTTAATTGACAACTTTTGAGAGTAGTACACTATAGGTAAATAGTACTTCTGTATAATGAAACTATTGCGGTACATAACTTAACAGCTATACAATCCTCAGATCCAATAAACATAACACAAACAAAGGCGCAAAACGCGTCGCGGTCATTGTTCCTGCTGCCTTAACTATTAATGGCGAGTACAGTTCAAGCTGAGACTTATATTATACTTTTAGAACGATGGAGATTCTGAGGATTCATTTTCATATATATAAAATAGTATTGAGGGACTATTATGTAGCGAGAAATATAGTTTGTAAAAGAAGAGAGTTTATAAAAAATTGGGCAGTATTTATTATAGTTGAATATAGTTGAACGTTTCCATCATCTGACCAGGCTGCACAATTGGTGCAACAGCTGTTTCGGCGATCGCGTAAAGGTAGTGTAAACGATACGAGTAGAAAATGTTAAATACAAGCCTTGTTGAGTGCCTTAAAAACTTCTACGAGTGTCGTTAACACTATTTACGCGAGTTGTGTGCATTAATTAACCTGCAACAGTATTTTAATTACCAAAAACCACTACTCAAAACTTAAAAAGAGAGGTTATTTTTTCTTTATCCCTCATTGTCTCTGACAGTAATGCAACGAATCATCGCACCAATCGTTAACAATTAAATTGACCTGAACAGCTGAAGTTATAGTTGAAGTTCGAAGCATTATAATTTTACTTCTTATCTCTCAATCCTTGACCCTATCTGGGTACCAGTGGTGGTTATATTTTGGCCCTTTTTGTAGTGGTACCATATAATTCACCAGAGAACAGTTACATGCCCATATAAGTAGATATCTATTATATATTATGTTTCAGTGATAAATGTAGAATATAAAAATATATATTTTTCAGCAATGCTTTTAGGCGTAGTAGCAAGAGGTTTGCAATTTTTTGGATTATTCAACTTAGAAATGTTTAAATCAACCCGCAAAAATCATAAAAATAATGTTTTTATCCATATTATCCAAATGTTAAGGTTGTGTAAAATATGATTCCTTACGTAGAAATAGCAATGTTTTTTTTTAATACGCATAAAAATAAAATTATAAAAAACTACCAAACTACTTTATTTACCAAATTGTATTTAATTGTTGTATGAGAAATAAATTTATTGCATCAACAGTAAATGAATATTATACTGCTGTAACAATTTAGTATTTTCACAAAAATTTTCAATAGAATATAATTTAATTTTTACCATATGTTTTTACTTTTATCAATATGTCAATCCATCTCTCTTTATCAAACCTTGTATAATATATGGCCAAACAGACCAATAGGTAATTGATTCAATACATTATAATATAGAACATTTTCAAATAACCTTATTTAATGTAAATATATAATAACCTATAACTTTTTGTAACAAAGTTGCTTCAATTTCAATATAATTTTACTTAAATAACTTGTCAAAATTCAAATTTAGCTCTATGGCAAATGAAAATTGTTATAATATATGTGTGAACAGTGGCCTACAATTTTCCGTGATAAAGTCAGCATTGACATATGTGAATGCAACAATGCATCAAACCTTCCTCACTTCTAAGAGTGCTGAGCTAGTATGAAGATATAAATTGTAAACTGCATATTTTAATATACATTTTTTTTTAAGTGCATATATTTGGAATAAATTAGTGAAATTTGATTAAAGAAGATCCGTCCTTGTTACAAATATTAATAACTACACAACATCAAGAAATTTAACTGTGAAGAAGACGTCAATTTTGGTGAGATCACTCCAGTAGACATTTTCTTTCCTTGGATCGAAGCCATTACAACACTTTTAAGCCTAACTTTTGAACTTTTGTACCATAATTTAAAAGTCAAGAAACTAATAGAAGCTTATATAGAACATAAATTAATTAACCTTTCAGAAAATAATTCGAACATAATTTATATTTCAAAACAAAATTTAATTAGGCTATATATAATCACAAAATTAAATTCAAACGCCGCTCGATCACCCCACCTGAGATAAAGATCCATGCAATATAACCCCTCAACCTAAATTAGAACTATTGTAATAGGCCTAGCCTAAAGCTTAATTTAGTAAATTCATTTGCACCCTTTGTAAACTTTTATTGTGAACCCTTAGTTTCTTTTCTTTTACAATCAATTTTGTATTGTAATTAAATAAATTTAAGTTTAGATACTGGACATGGAGTTTCCATTGTATTCCTAGCTTGTATTTGTAGCCTTGTTACACTGCATAATTTAAGAGTAAAAGCTCTTTCTAAAAATGTATAGTTAAATGTTGTTGAAATCGAAATTTCCTGAGTAATTTACGTCAGAATGTGAAATGTTAACATTCTTTTACGAAAACATAATTTTTATCACCTTTTCAAAACTACATAAAATTGTTATAACCAACCTCAGATTCGGAGATGTATAAATTGTAGGGAATTTATTGCAGTTTCAGATGGTGATGGAAACGATCCACCACCAAAATATATTTTGAACTCTCTTCTTTTACAAACTATATTTCCCGCTACATAATAGTCGCTCAATACTATTTTATATATATAGATATGCAAATGAATCCTCAGAATCTCCATCATTCTAAAAGTATAATATAAGTCTCAGCTTGAACTGTACTCGCCATTACTAGTTACGGCAGCAGGAACAATGACCGCGACGCGTTTTGCGCCTTTGTTTGTGTTATGTTTATTGGATCTGAGGATTGTATAGCTGTTAAGTTATGTACCGCAATAGTTTCATTATACAGAAGTACTATTTACCTATAGTGTACTACTCTCAAAAGTTGTCAATTTAAAAATTAATGGTTCTAAACAACAACAAAAACCATTATACTCCTGATTATACTTATCGTAAATTTAAAAAATATAATTTTTAGTAACTTCTTGTCAATTTCTGTGAAACTACTACATAATCTATTTGTAGAATGCATTTTTCTGCACAGTTTGAGGTGTCTAACGTATTCATATGACTTTTGGTTCTCGAGATATGAGCTATTTTGTGCGCGGCGGCCCCCCGGGCGGCCCCCCAACTTCACCCCCTTCCCCCCATGTTATTAACCACCTAGAAATGCGACAACATCGATTTTCTTCATCTACTAGGTACCCATAGCAACAATCAAAAGTCAAATTTCGTTACACTTTTATGCATGCTCAAACCCCCTCAGCGCCTGGACTAAACGTCGTTTCGACAACTACGATAGTTAGATAGAGATTATTTCGATAAGTGTGAAATTATTATAGGTTTAAAAGGAATAATGTTTTAATTTATAGATGAAACACATGGCTCTTGATAGAGTTTCGTACGTTTGACTAGTCTTGCTATTGTTGTTCGCTCTCAACACTACTTATCAAGTTCAATTTGTCGTACATGTGACGGTAGCTGATTGTGTTGTGTCGCTCTGTTCGATGCAGTTTTTCACATCCCTGATGCCCGCATGCCCGCGACACCGCAGCCATTGCGAAAAGGCTACCATTAATCACATAATGGGCTTTTCCTAAAGCCCAATTTGCCGCGGCTTTCCACGTATGGACCCAATTCGTCTTCTAAATGACCCACGTCATTGGCTAATTAGTTCTGAACGAGCGAGTACTTTTTACGATTGGTCGGTCAAATGTAAAATGTGCTTTCGATAAGTTACAAATGATTTTGTAACCAACAAGTAATGTGAACGGGTTTTGGTGTAAAAGTACTACGTTTTATCAAACCTGATGGATAGTGATTGTGAGAATTGTTCCTCTTATATCTGAATTGATCCTTTAAATAGTATTTGCATCATATTATGGAAAACCGACACATACCTATGTAATAGTAGAAAGGTGGCGAGGAGAACCATGTCAGATAAATTAGTGCTGCTCTAGAAATAGGTTCTATTATTTTGAGGTCAAAGGTTTCCGAGGTTGAACTCTCAAAGACCCAGTCAAAAGTTTGTTCTGTCGGTTGTTCTCGTGGGTCAGTTTTCTTCCTTCAGGTGAAAGTAAAATTTCTGCTAATTTATTTGTATTTACATATCGTGATAATATAGTTAAAATATTAATATAACCATCCATCTACTTGTATTTACCATTTATGAATAAGTTCGTTATTGTGGAAGTTCATTCTTATCATCATCATTATTATCATTATTATCATTATTATTATTATTATTATTATTATTTTTTTTTTTTTTATTATTATTATTATTATTATGTACCTCTAAAATATATTATTATAAGGCAATGGAACTTATGGCTTTCCTCTCAAATAGCTTGCAGCTAGAGAGGTACACAAGGCGCTGCAGTGTACAGCAAACTTTGGCATGCGAGATAATAAACAAATTGAAATTGAAATGATTATTATTATTATTTATTTTTCCCAATGAATACACAGTAATATTCATTAATAATGCTAAGCTCTGAACTCATTCCATTTTAAATATCTCATGTCTTTGTCATTTTGATTTGTTTGCCCAGTATTTTCAGATTCTATTTAAATATTTTTACTTTCAGTAAACAACCGAACCACGATTTAAGAATAACTCTGTCAATTAACTGTATCACCTGAGATTCATTATGTATCCAAACAGCTGATTATTATTGTGATATTTCCCTACCCTCTGTCATTTATTTTCTGCAGCCGTGTTTGCCACAGAGTGTACAATGTGTTACACATGCCCTAGGTTTACATAATGTAACTTGACTGTATTCCCTGCAGGCCCAGCACACAAAACCTCGGCCTGTTCTCACTAGAGGTGACATTCATTCTCGCATTAACATAACGCAGGGCAAAGCCGTGAGTTATGGACTTTCTGTCGCCCAAACCACTACTTTCTGTACAGTTTCATTGTAACTCAGTTGTACCAAACGATACAATAAATATTGTATAAATACAATATAAATATTGCAATTATTATATTGTTCTTTATAATACATGATTTACGCTTCTCGATAACTAATTTCATTATTTGTTTGCAGATTGAGGACGCGATGCTCATGTTCGACAAGCAGACAAATAGGCATAGAGGTAAGTCGATTTTATATTTGACATAACATGCTATGTAACACTCGTATCGGAATATTGCGTATTGGATTTGCTTGCTAACCACCATCATTGTACGATGATAATTCAAATCTAAGAATTCTTCAATGTTATGGTATTAAAACTACAGATCCTTTAAATACTTAGGTCTATAGGGATATACCTTTTTGTATTGGATTTTCTCGATACAGTAGTAGCTACCATTGTAATAAAATAACCATATATGATAAATAATTTGTTCAATGTAATAGTAAAAAAAGTATTTTTAGTTGATGATTATCTATTAAAAACAAGTTATAAGTTGAACCTCGGGTTCAAGGGTGATTTTCCTTTAATAGTATACTGCTTATAATCAAGAAATTAATTCATTTTTAAATACTTTACATGACAGACTTTTCCTATTACTAAGTTATTTTATTCTACTAATAATGTTTATTAAACTTTTAGATCAAAATATATTTATTTATAAAAGATTGCCACTTTGTAGCACAAGACTAGAGTTTCCTAATTCCATACGCCATTGTCGGCGTTTTAATATTAACGAATACATCATGTTTCTGTCTCGCGTAGCTAAGCTAAACTACATAAAGCTGAATTGTTGTTGCAACAACCGTAATCTAACGTTATTCTAGTCGAGAATCCTATGTTAATATTGTGAATCAAGGACCTGCTTTCTACAAATGAAAAATATCCTACATGGTTATTTACTGTATTCCAATTGTGGAGCTTATATCTACAATTGCAGCCTGAAAATCATCGGTAAACGAATATTTCCTCGTATATGCTTATTAAAATAACTTAAACTGAAGTATACACTCTTAGCTCGTGTATAGGGATCCTACTGACATTTTACACATTCCAAAGCGTGCTACCCGCCCATGTTGTGAAAGCCCCACGGCGGCGCTGCTCCGATTATTAGTCTGGCAATTGTCATATTTCCCCACAGTTTGTTTTTCGCCCTCCCTTATAACTACTTGTGTTCTTAGCTAATTTATTAAGCTACGTGTTACAATTCCGCCCAACTTCGTTGCTGTGTTTCAAGTGGCTTTTCTTATAATAGTCAAGGGTACAGTTGTGTAAATAACTATGATAATTATATTTTTAAACTTTTTTATACATCGGTGAATTATAATTTATGTAAGAAATGATAATTACCCTTGAGTATTTGTCATAACTATGTATTGTGAATGTAAAAGTAAACAGTTAATTTAATTAAATAAAAAACTATTAAATATAGAAACATATATTCATCATTGAATCTTTTAAATTCAAGTTACAAGAGAAATATTGATTAATGTACCTTAAAAATGCTCAATGATTTGCATCTGTAATTCCTCCACATGTACTCAAGCCTTCGGAATCAACAATGTTCGTTTACAGATAATATTTCTTAACTTTTCTACACCAGTCCTCCTATATTTATCGGTTTCTTAAAAAACAATTCATCTCCAGAATTGAACGCAAATGACGAAAAAGGTAGGTCTACTTATTTCGATTAGTTGGCTTTGTGTTTAGAAAATTCTGATGATTTCGTTACATTCATGTTTAGAGATTTTTCAGAATTAATTCACTATGTAGGCCTATAATTTTTACGAAGAAAGTAAATCCCTATTTTGCTAGTAACCTTCATACCCAACCGCGTGTACAGTTATCAACATTTAGTTCATTAAAGACGGTTAACTTCAGTGTCTACAATCTAGCGATATAACGTTACATTTCGCGCGTTTCACAGCGGACGTCACCAAGTGACGATGATAATGACGCATTAACTTGTTTATCGTCATAACACTGCTTATTCTTATCAGCGCTGTTATCAGTCAAACTTCATCTTATGACGTCCCTTCTTACCTCGGTCATTACTTAGTTTATGCTGTTGAATTCTCTCGTCCTTAGATAAGAACAGAGTGGTAGTTTATGCCATTGAATTATCTCGTCCTTGGATAAGAACATATTGAACATAAAGAGTATAGATTAAGTAAACCTATCTTTGAGGTAGAAACGTATATGTAGAGGTTTTTGGTAGCTTTGTAAGAGAAAATTCTTGGAACCACTGTTCAATAATTCAAATCAAATCAAATTTGAGTTTAAATGTTGATTTCATTACTATTATAGTTTCATACAAAATCAAATAAATAATTCGAAGTTATCAAATAAATTTTCAAATAATCATCAAATAAATTTTGTCGAAATCTCTATTAACTTAGAATTAAGCAAGTAGCTAACACGTTGAAAGGGGTTTTTTATGCAGGCATAATAGTTTAGCCCAACAATTTCGTGTCTAAGTCTATAAATAAAAATTTAATCCAACTTGTTGGATTAAATGCTACAAATGTATCTCCTTTTAAAATTAAACCTTGAAAATTGAGTTTAAAAATGTTTCAATGATAATAAATTGCTGTTATATCCTAATCGAAATCAACAGTGAACCTTATTTGGATTCTTTAACTGATAACGACAATAAATAATCAAGTTTGAAGAAGGATGGAGATTACAGTTAATACAGTATATACAGCAGCTAATGAGACAAAATAGTTAAACTAGATAAATACGAGCAAAATGATGAGTTAACATATATAAAAACTAAATCTATGTGTCTAGATGTAAAATATCTAGGTCCTAGTAATGATCGGATATAATAGGATAATATATCCTTGTGCCATAAATCCTAGTCAGCTTATCTGGTATGAAATATTATCTTGTATCCAACAGTGAGAGTCGTCAGACATGTATTACACACAATACAAGCCGTAACTTACCAGGTCCCTGGCCCTACTGCATATATCCAGCAAACAGTTAGTTTGTCACTTTGCCGCTAGACGTCTCTGCGAATCCTTACCGACCACGATTACAAAAAAAAACCGGTATGGATCATAAACATCAACAAATGACGTTTTTGGCCCGAAAATAAACATGATTTAACATTGGTTAAATGGAACTGCTAAAACATATGTTCAATGCTATTAGTATAGGATTCGGGCCAACAACGTCATTTTGTTTATGTTTATGATCCATACCGGGTTTTTTCTAGTAATCGTGTTACCGACACAATAGATACATCATATTTATAATATCAGGTGTTTGTGATCAATATATTTGTATACAGCTATACCATTTAACTACTGCAAAAATTTATTTACTCATAATGGATCGATACTAATGTAAACAATAATACTCCCTACACTACAACTATCGACTACAATATTAAAAGTTCATTCAATTTAATTTGAGGACAATAAATTTTAAAATTAATGCTAGCGTAGTTAGTTTATTACATACATTCCTATTAAAATAATTACTCTCAGAAAACATTTACGACAGTTACGCAAGAATCAGGTTGTACTAACTGTACATGTTGGAATTCAAAATTATCATTTAGAATAAAATTCAACATAGTTAGTAAAGTTAAAGCTTTTAAAACAGTTAACCAGACAGATGTTACTTGTTATTTCTCTTTAAATGAGAGTTTACTCTATTCACTTAAACGCATACCGTAACAAGAATGAAAATTAAAAATCATGATTTAAAAAATCTTCGTTGGCTGTCATTATTAAAAAAATCAAAAGCTTTTTCAAACTTAATATACGTATATAAGGAACTGACAACTTCAAACAGTATGTACACTTTTTAAATATAGTGTTATAGACACAAATCGAATAGGAAATCATGTTGAAGTAACATAATTGGTTGATCTATTACTGATACAGGACGGACAATCAGCACAATTGTCCAACCACCAACTTTTGTTTATAATATCCCCTATAAAATATACGAAAATTTGTTTACAAGCCCTACAAATTTTATAGAAACCCTACTCTACACTTTTTTGTCTTTCATAGTATTGTACATCACTGGATGTAATAAAGACACGGCGAGAATGAATGAATGTAAAAACTGAATATTGCACCACTACTCATGTTTTTCGTAAATCTAATGTAATATTCTAACATACAACCCAAGTGAGGAGAAGGTGACATACAAATTTGATTAGCATGCTAATATTTGCACCATGATATTAAGGTAGCATATGAGATGATAGTATGTTAATTATACTTATCTTGCTCAAGGGACAGGAGCCAGCATAGAACATGGCCAGGGAGTGGCATTTGAATTAGAAAATTATACTAATGTTGTACACCTTGACATAATAGAGGAGCATGGCAGCAGGGTATTGCTCATCATGGAGAGGTAGTGGGATATCAGCAGATGTACACTTGACTGTAGACTCTCATGTAGCATAACACCACCAACAGCCACGTCTCTGGGGACAACGCCATGTCAGTTGTAATTAATAGTAATTGTTAAATATTAATAAGTCAGTTTGTATGGTATCTAATTCACATGCTACGGGGTGAGCAAAAAAAAACACGGACAAATTTAAAATGTTATTACTCAGCTGTTATAAAGGCTGGAGGGTTCATTAATGCGGCAAATGAATGTTTATTTGATGCCATTTAGTGTATAGTTACTATGAATCATAACACACCCTGCTAAAGTCCAGTAGTTATAATGCACCTAACTTCACCTCGTCATGAAATCTGTGGTATTTTCTGAGGATTAGTCTTAACGTTTATTTTGTTTAACTCTGGAGAATTACAAAATAAAAACATGAAATTGTTTTAAATGTACATGATACGCCTGCCAATAGTCAGTTGTCCAGGTAAAAATGTTTAAAGGTTAGTAAACCAGTTGCAGTAGGGTATTTAGGGATATTCTCATTCTTAATAATCGGATTTATTTTATTGGAATCATAAGTTATTTTTACAGTAATTGCAAGGACATAGTTCAATTAATTTCAAACCTTAACTATTTTTCCCTCTTTTAAGTTATAAGTAAAGACCAAGTCATATTTTTTTAATTTTATTTTGTAAAACAAATTGGAACTTCTGTCTAATATTAAGGCAAACTGGAGGCAAATTTAAAGGGAGAGAGCTGTAACTAGAATATCAATTAATTCTTCGTCACAAGAATGAAAAATGGTAGAAGTT